TCAAAATTGCATGATTTTTCTTTATGCACTATACCATCATTGTTTATTGGTATCATGGTGATACAATGTTATACAAAATAGTCTAATTTAACATTAATCGATAGTGATACAATAATATTATGCAAAATAGTCCAATTTATGAAAACAAAAAAAATGCTTTTGACATCTATTTACTATCACGAAAAACCAAATCAATGTCAATTCATCTCCATTAGACCCTTTTCATTTAACAACCTCAATCTCTTGTATTCATTTATCACATCCCTATCTACCTTCAAGGAATCAAAGTCGAAATCAAAAATGTCCATTGAATTCCAAGAAGGAGATCAACTCATCGCCACATAGATCTGATTAGGAGCAAACATATTTTGATCTATGGTCAAGGTGATGTGTGGCAATGTTAAGCCTTGGGTCTTGTGGACGGTTAACGCAAAAGCGTTCTGTAAAGGGAATTGGTGTCTCGAGGCATGTACCCCATTAATTTCAAAGTTCGTGGTAGTTTTTTGAACATTGATTTTAACAATGTTTTTGTTTGTTGGGAAGGTGACCTTGACGTTATTGTGGTCTATACTCTTGGTAATGACTCCTATTGTTCCATTGCAAATGTCATGCTCGAACAACTTGTTGTTCAGAAACATAACCCGTGCCCCTTCTTGGATTGTGATTGATCGTGGGAGGTTTGTATGATTTTTGAAAGGCAAACCATTGGAGCTGCTGTCAACCACATCAAAATTCAATGTGTCAAGCGCTGTCAAAAGAATGGGGTTGGAGCATTGATCACTGAACGGTAGATTTTCACAAATGAATGTGTTGATTTGTTCAGGTTGACTTTCTGGATTTGGTTGTAGAAAGTGGGAAATGGCATATCGATCAATTCTACAATCCAAAAGACAAATTATTGGCTTTGCAAGATCATTTTAAGTTAGATGGTTTGATGCATCGTATTCATGGTAATACTAATAAAATTCCTCAAAATAAATCACATGTAATTGTTAATCTTGGAATGGCACAATTAGTTAAGAATTTTTTATTGCAATATTCAAATTTGCATGGATTACCATCTCCTATGAAAATTAGAGATGAATTAGAAGCAATAATCTATTTGCCAACTTATATGAAATATACTACAGTATATGGGGAATTTAAAAATTTATTTAATTCAGAATATGAATCCATTAGTCCTATTGCATATAATATATTTTACAAACTATGGCAACAATTAACACCATACATTAAATTCCAACCACCTGGAACTGATCTTTGTAATACTTGTGAAGCACTTAAAAGTGATATAAAATTTACAAATGATGATAATGAAAAAGAAAATCTTAAATTTGAATACAAAAATCACCAAACAGATGCAGAGCAGGAAAGAATTCATTATACCAACATAATTGAAAAAAGCAAAAATGATTCAACAATAACACATATTTGTTATGATTGGGCCCAAAGTGTTGCAGCTCCATTTTCTTCTCAACAAGTTGGATCAATCTATTTCAAATCCCCTTTTATCATACATCTTTTTGGTATATGCAAGACAGATGATGGTAAAAATATTCAATCAAATTATACTATAGGAGAAAATGAATTACCAGAAGGGATATCAAAAAAGGGGGCTAACACAACCTTGAATATGGTTTTTGATTTTCTCCAAAAGATTGGTCATGTTGGTAAAAAAAATCTTTATGTTACATGTGACAATTGCCCTGGGCAGAATAAAAATAATTTGTCACTTTGGTTTTGGTCATGGTTAGCAATGTTGGGTTGGTATGAGGATATTTATATAAATTTTATGATACCTGGACACACAAAATTTATTTGTGATGCAGAATTTGGATCTATTAAAAAAGCATACAAGGACAGTCATATAAATACTGTTGATGATGTTGAGATGGTTATAAACAAATCATCTATACATAATAAATCTATTAGATATGATAACAGGATAGGTTGGAAATGGAAAGACTTTAATTCCATGTTAAAAGATAATTTTAGAACTTTACCAAATATGAAAAAGCAACATCATTTTCGCTTTAGTAGTTTGCCAAATAATATTGGAATAGTTTATTTTTCAAAAAAATCTGGTGGAGAAGAATATTCTTATAATCTTTTGAAGAATACAAATTTTGATAAAAATGCACATTTAAATTTTCTTGAAGTTGTTCCTTTATCAGAAGACAGAAAAAAATATTTATATAATAACATTTGTCAGCATGTAGATAATCCATATAAAGATATTCTCTGTCCAAACCCTAATTAAATTTTATATTTATCATGTATTTTGAATATATTTGAATTGGTGCAACTAATAAAATATTGGGGTTGTAGATCAATTTTATATTTTATGCAAATTAATTTAAAAAACTCTTTGTTACCCAATTACAGCATAGTGGACACTGTTGCAGATCACAAAAAAATGATCAACATAACATATGTTATGGTGAAAGTTCTTGCAAAAGTTTGATTATAAAAGTGTGAGATAATTTTGATCTTGCTGATGATCTGGACTTAGAGAGGTTACAGCTATATTCTAGTGAAGTTTCAGAAGCAACGGGATCTGTGTAACCACCTGCATATTATACAAATGACTGTTGATATGCAACAGTGTCCACTATGCTCCCAATTACTCATTTTTTTATTATGCGAACATGGTTTGAAAATTTTTCCAGTTATAGTTTCAATGTTACAGATTGATGTTATGTAAAAAAGTCAATTTTGGTAAAAAAGACTTATAACCAGTTTTTTCTAGAAAACCCCCCAAATATAACAAATGGAGGATTTTAATAATCACATTACTAAATTTTGATCCCTGAAATCATTGGTAATACCAATGTTCACTTTGTCTGGTTTTGTTACAGCATGCCCCATTTGTGATGTTGATATGGCTTGTAATTTTATGTAATACGATGTTCACTTTGTCTGATTTTGTTACAGTATGCCCCATTTAGTAATGTGTGTGTTTAATTATTTAGTAATAGTAATGTGAGAATTATTCATGAGAATTATTCGATTTGTTTATATTATTTAGCAATGAATTAATCTTAACATAGTAATGTGTGTTTTTTTTATAAAATCTATATCACGTGAATCCGTTGTAACGCGATTAGTACTTATTATAATAGTAATAATAATAATAATTACTAAAATCCTACCAAAAAATCCGTTGTCCGTTGAAACGCGATTTAAATATAAAATCCGTTGAAACGAGAATTTTTTAATTAATAAAATCAAGGGGTAATATAAAACCAAAAATCCGTTGAAACGAGGGTTCGACTGTAGATATTTGCTTTTAAGGTAATTAATTATAAACCGAATTATCAAATTATCTTAAATTCGACTTAACAAGATAATTTTATTAATTATGTTATTGGTTAACCAATTTTTACATCGTTATAAAGCGAAAATCGGTTTATAGTGGTTCGGCTTATCGAGGTTTAACTATATATAGTACTACTATTTATTTTTACAAATTTTAAGGCACTGGGCAAAAGTCATAACAATTGAAATTTAAACTATCCATTTTTAAAAAACTATCATTAAAGATTACCAACTTGATAAATTTAATACGTTATTTTGAAAATTTAGGGTAACTATCTATATAGGTCCTGTTGTCGTATGTAGATCAAGATGAAAAAGCCAAAGACATTTACTAAGATTTTTTCTTACCTCTCCAATTATATACATATAAGGCTATTAATATTATTATAATTACATTATATTTTAAAGAAAATAAAGGCAATAAGTTTTCTAGAATCCTCCCATCTAACCCCTCAATTTTAGTATCAGAAGATTATCATTATTATGTGTTAAAGAAATCAACGTCATCATGATTGTTGATTTGAATATCTTTTATTTCCTGAAAATGTCTAGGAACATCTTTATCATCATGATCCTTTTCTTCTTCACTAATGCTGATATTTGCTAGAATTTCTAGAATTTCATTTTCTAAATTTTCAATTAGCACTTTTCCAAGTTTCTTTCCAATTTGCCATTGTTGATACATCGGTTCCATAATCAATGCCTGTTCAAAATTGAAAATATTCTCGTGAATACATTGATCTTTTTTATCATACAATACTTTATTAGCCCATTCAAACCATGCACATTTTGGTCTTGCTCCTGGTATCTATAGGAAAATTTTTTTAAATAACCACATATAACATTTATCATTAAATGTGTTCCATATATATGTTACCTGATAACTTGCACATGACATAAACCATTTCCCCTTATTATGCCGTCTAATAATTCTTCTCAAAACTATTGGTTTGCCGCAATAACATCTTGGTACAGCGGGTATATTGATAGGAAATTCAGTTATGGTATTAAAGATTACACAAAAAGTAAAATTGAAAAAGGGACAAGTGTTTAGTTCAGGATGATTGTTATTCAATGATTCTCCTCGACACATTTCATTCCATATTGGCTGATGTACATGAAAAGCACAAATTTTATTTTCCTTTGATTTACTACAATCAGACCCGTCATCACCATCATTATCCATAGTTTCGATAGTAGATGGATTGTATAGAACGTCTTTTTCTTCAACAGTTTCCTAAATAAATAATCCCTTCTTTTTAAATTCAATGAATGAACATACAATTCCTTACATATAAATAGAAAAAGGCGCGTTTCTTACCCTTTCAGATAAGTTGGAAACCGTTTGCATGATCTTTTTATTTTCATTATCGTATTCAAGTATTCTGCCTAAACTCCAAGGATTAACATGTTCAACGTAATGACAATCATAAATAAGGATCCCTGATCTTTCAGATAAACATATGGATACAGGTTTGTCGCAAAAACATCTTGGCACGTCAGAAGAGTTAGAAGAACGTTTTTTATTATTATCCATGGCCTTAAAGTTACACACAAATTTCACATAATAATAAACGGAGGGAGATATTAATATTAATATGATGAAAATAATCTTATCCGAATTGGGAGGTTAAAAGAAAGTAACACGTGCATAAAATTACTTTTACGTTAATATTCTCTTCATGGCAACACCATCATCATCTGTATTGTTAATAGATTCGATTACAAAATTTATTTTAAATCATTTTAAAAAATTAGGAAAAATTACTAAATATTCATCTAAACCTTTAATAGTTGCTATAAACGGACCTCAAGGATCTGGTAACAAAAAAACAAAATATCAAATACAAATTAATTAATTAATTGAATAATAATAAAAGATATCTTTTTTAGGTAAAACCACATTAGTAAATCAATTAAAATATCAACTTAAAAAGTCATTATACAATAACAGCAACAGCAGCAACAACAACAACAATTATAATGATTCAATCGTATCATGTTCAATTGATGATTTTTATTTAAGTCACTCTGATCAATTAAAATTGTCAAGCAAATATCCGGATAACAAATTGTTAAAGTATCGTGGACAACCTGGAACTCATGATATTTTATTAGGAGTAAATTTCTTTAAAAAACTATGCGACAATCAATTCAAATATTCAACTTCCTCATCCTCACATAATCGTAGTAGTCGTGAAAAAGAAGAAGGAGAAAAGGAAGTATTATTGGTTCCATCTTATGACAAGTCGTTAAATAATGGTCAAGGTAATCGATTATCGATTGATAAATGGACAAAAAGTTATCCACCATTTGACATAATGTTATTTGAAGGATGGTGTGTTGGTTTCAAGTCATTAAAAAAAGAAGATTTGAAAAATATTTATTATGATAGCAACATTAACAATGATTGTTATTCGTTAGAAAATATTTTGTTAATTAATGAAAATTTAAAAAATTACGAGAAACATTGGTACAAGTATTTTGATATATTTATACATTTGGATGTTGAGAATATCAGTAATGTTTATGAATGGAGATTGGAACAAGAAGAAAATATGAAGAAACAAAACAAGAATAAGAGTGGTATGAGCGAAGAAGAAGTTAGAAATTTTGTCGATAGATTTATGCCTTCTTATGAAATATATTTACCATATCTAAGAAAACAAAATTTCTTTTGTCAAGTTGAAAATAAAAAGGAGGAGGAAGAAGAAATTAAAAGTTGCACAAATCTCAATGAACATTATGGAAAGCATTTAAGAATCATATTAGATAAAAATAGACAATTAATCAGCGAGACCGTAATGTAAAAAATATCAACAGTATTATCATTTAGACTATAGAATATACAAAAAAGTAACTCTGTTTTTATATAATATATATTATATTTATTAATTAATCTAATCTAATTATTTAAAAAAAAAATTACAAAAAAAATTTAATTGGCATCTTATAAACATAATAAATACTGCGTATATATATATATATAACATAAAAATTTTAATTTTAGAATGTAACATTAACTGCACCATCCTCATTTTTAATTGATAAAGTGCCGTTTGTAAATCTATTATTGGATGTGTTGATGTCATTGGCTTTATGTTCATTGTCACTTATTTTAACTTCTTGTGGATAATTTGTTGAAATTATACCTCTTCCAGTAACAATATCGTAATTACCAGTGAATCCATTGATCTATTATTATATAATTAATAATATTATTTATTAACAAATAGCACAATAACAATAACAATATGCCACCGCAATAAAAATAAAATAAAATACTACGTCGCCATAATAATAATATAATACTTACAAAAGTTAAATTAATCCGACCCACATCATTTACAATATCAACCATAGCAGACTTTGCATTATCAGCAATTCCAACACTTAGATTTAAATCAGCATCATCCGCAATGACACTAAAATTATTTTCGATGCCTGTGATTGTTCCATTTACATAACCAGCATTAGAATTAATAACTAATGATTTCGCGGATAAATTATTAAATTGAATCTTAGAATCGTCATTATTAATCGTTAGTGATTGGTTATACTTGTTAGCATTCTCTGCAAACGTTATATCAAAATCATCCGTATTAAATGTTGTTTCATTAGTATTAGGACCCATGATTAATGGTAGAGTGATGTCAATATTCGCTACTATACATCTAGGTGGTATACTAAGACCAAACATAGTGATTGAGTTTACTTGTACCTAAATTGTAACATTTTGTAGAATAAGTAATAATTAATTACTTTATTTTTTGAAAAAAACAAAGAAAAAAGAAAAAAAATTTTCTATTACAATTTTTATAGCATAAGAATTTCCATGTGCTTCTTGTGTGATTTGAATTTTATCATTTGCTAATGAATTATATTGTACTTTGATCAACGCATCAGTTGAAGTGGTTGAATTAGACTGTGAGACGTTTATAGATCCATACTAAATAATATATAATGATTAACAACGGATAACAGTAATTAATATTAATAATAGCAATTTATCGATAAGAGTGAGTAATTAATAATTACCTTGACGAATTTTGGTATAACCTCGAAATTATTATGAACATTTGGATCAAAGCTAAATAAATTAACTTCATTCGAATCGTTTAATTCGAGTTCACGACACGCTTTATTGTTAGAAATTCCAATCACCTAATTATCCGATTTGATATGATTGAGAATTGATTAATTTCTTACATTAAAAAAAAAAAAAAAAAAGAGAGAATTAAAATTAAAATTTTAATTATATACTTACAGTTACAATGATAATTAGCACCAAGGCTAATCCAAACGACAACATACAAAATCTAGATCGGCCCTTCCTTTTAAAACAACAACACTGTTGATTTTCATCATCTATATTAAAAAGATACTTTGATTAAATTTAATTTTTATCAGTGATAAAGTGATTGATAAATCTAATTATAATATTAATACCACTGCTATCATTACTGTAATTATTTGTCGAGTAAAAATTAGGATTACGGTGACTTGGAACCGTCTGTTGATAAGTTGGTAATTCATCATCGCCATTAACATCCACTATGACTGGTAATGGTACTTTTGGTACTTGTTCATACGGTGGTGGTGGTGGTAGATGACTATAATCATTGTCGTTATTATTATTATCATTATTATCATTTGATGCCGATGATGATGCGATAGTAACTATGTCACTGTTGTTATTATTATTATCGTCGTTATCTGCAACATTATTGTTATCAATTTCAAGATTTTCTTCTTGAAGTTCTTCTGTTCGAATTTCTTGATTTTGTGATTGCCGCCTTTCTTGTGAAAGTTCTTGTGGTTGTGACGACAATTGTGTCATATTTATATGTATATTTGTTTATTTATTTATTTAAATATGATCTTTATAAATATTATTTATATACATTCAATATATATAATATATATGTGTAGGAAATAATTAAAGAATAAAAAAAAAAGCTAAAAAAATTTTTATTAACGAGACGAGAAATGACAAGATAAATTCTATTGTAAACTATTTATTTATTGTTGGAAAAAATCCGAAAACAGTTAGGTCGTATTATTAATAATCTAGATAGATAAGACTAAAATAATATAATAAGGAAACATTGAATCAAATGACATAAATAGCATTCTCAATTCACGAATTTTCCAAATAAAACTAATTTAGTGTTTCTAAAAAAATATACATAATGAAAAACTTTCCTAATGGAAAAGAAGTTTAAGATGAAACTAATAATTGAAACCATCAATAAGTCAAATATGGTGGAATGTTACACATAATCATATATATTTAAACATTCGCTATATGGGATATATGGGAACCTTTTATTATAATTAAATTTTTTATCATATTTTCCAGCAAGAACTTTCCATACAATTTGTAGATCATATAAACTTAATTCAATCCAATTACTAATTTGTTCTATTAAACAAACAGGACCTGATATTTCCACCAATTATAATATTTATGTTATAGATTATGTAAATAACACGAATTTAGTCAAATGACCTTGGAAGTGGTTTTTAATTTTAGACTTGTGCAAATTATTTTAAAAAGGTATCAAGCAAACAGGGTCTAATATTTCCGTTAATTATAATCTTCATGTTATAGATTAATATTATGTAAAATAACACAAATTTGGGCATGCTGCGTAAAATCAGAAAGTGAGTATGATGTAACAAAGAATCAAAGAGTTTGTAAATTAGTCACAATTGTATACACTATCAATATATATATTTTTTGATTCTCATTTTTTTAATTATTCAATATCCTCCATATAAACTTTTCTCTTCTTTCACTTTAGCCTTGGCTTAGCTGTTCAGGTTAATTCAAAAAAAATTTTATTTAGCCTTGGCATTTTGTTTCCATTTAAATCTAAATAATTTCTTGTTTTAGTTATTTCAGACCTTTTGCCTTTCTAATTCTTTAACTTTGTTTGTAATTCCTGAATAGTATTCTCATTTTGGGGATATTTTTCTTTTTCATAATCAATATTTAAATTATTTTCTTTGATTCTAGCCTTATTTTGGTAAATTAGCATTCTTTATAACCAAGTAAGCTAAAATAAAAGACACTCTTTTTCTCAACTTCCAATTTGGCAAACTTATCATTAATTATCTTATTCTTCTAGTTCTTGAGCAAAAGTAGCTTGAGCCAGTTCTTGCTGTTGAGAATCATTAGTAATTCCTCAGTTAGCAGAATTAGTCTGTAATCACTCAATAATAATTTCTTTGCTAATGCTATTATCCAATTTAGCAATCTTTTTCACTGGCTTGTTTTTCTAATTAAATTGCTGTTGGTGAAGAAATTGGATCACCTGGTGATTGACTCTTTTATTTTAGTTGGCACTTGTTGCTTGAGTGATAGTCCTGGCAGCCAGTTGTAGTTGTAAACCTTTTGGAAATTTCCTATAGATCCAAGTAAATTAATTAATGTTGTTGTTTGAGCCTAGAGAAAATCTAATTATCAGTTACACATAGTAGAGTGAAGATTAGCCTCACTATGATAATATAATGTTCAGAAATATATATATATATAACCAAACCTTTATCAGCTATTTGATCTCAATATAATTAAATACAGTAGATCTTCAATGCTAATAATATATTTTATCTCTCTTAATAAGTCCCTCTAATCCTTTTTTTTTATAAAAATTTATTTTACTTTATCAGATGTAATGAATGGTTCCAAGAGCCTTCTTATAGTATCTATGCTGTCACTATCATTATGACTCTTCCATTCCTCTCACATTATAAATTTATTGTGTTCATTAAAGAATCTTGAATCTATATAATAAAAAATACAAAGAAAAAATATCTTCTAAAATAATATATACTTATCACCACTACTATTCAATTTGAAAAAGGTTATCAAATGTGAGGATTTTTTTTTTAAACAGTGCACAAAGATGAATATTTTTCATCATTTACAAGACAAAGAATTAATAAGGTGAGGTGGATTAAGTCTTTTTTTTTAATACATTAGAAATTGATGTAGAACAACTTATTCTGACTGAAATGAGGATTAATATCGATTTTTTAAAAATAGGTTGTGATTGTGATTGTGATTGTGATTGTTCCAAAGAATGAGATTGCTGAACTGCATCTGAATCAGAACAGGATATTTTCTTAATGATCTACCTAACTGTCTGTAGTTGCATTACCATTAGTAGAGTGTCCGTGCAAAATTTTGTACAAAATTCAATGGTTAGTGCCAAATTTCTTGCAATTTTATTGGTTGATGATTGATAAACAATGTTTGATGACTTAACATGCGGACTAAAAAGGATTGAAATTTCCTTTATTGGATAACCATTGGTTATGAATTCGGCAGTGTAACGTGAAAATTTACTAAAATCGGTATGATTTTTATTTTTTATATATAATAATAATAATAATAATCAAGTAAATTGATAAAACAAAAATGCTTTCATCTGCACCAACTATAGCAAAAATTCCAGAATTTGTTTATCCACCTATTCCAGGAGAAACTCATAAATACTATGGAAACATACATTCCAAACAAATAAAACTTCCTCCAAACTCCATAAACAATGCCTATCGCTACCTCAGGGATTCGGAGGATATGAATATTTATGAGGCAACTTCTCTGGGTTATTTAGCAAAAGTTAAAGAGATTTTAGCACCAAAAGGATCTGGTGGAAAAGTGACAGATTTCACACGCGCCAACGTTGCAAATCTTTCTTCAGGTTTAACACCACTTCATTATGCAGCTTCACGTGGTCATTTGGATGTTGTTAGGTGGTTGGTAGAAAGTGCAGGTGCAATTGTTGATTTAGAAGATCAAACTGGTGAGGTAAGATAAAATATAAAGATAAAAATATAATAAATAAATTTATTTATTCATTTTATTCATTTATTTTATTCATTATATTCATTTATATGTGTATGCTACATGTACATGTTATATAGACTGCGTTATTAAAAGCATCATATAATGGACATATACCAGTTGTCAATTATCTCTTGCAAAAAGATGCATCTGTATCACAAAAAGACAATGATGGATGGACGTCATTACATAATGCATCTGCACGGGGACATTTGCATATAGTGAAATATTTGGTAGAATCTGCCGATGGCGTAGATGTAGATGTTGGAAATAATAGAAATATTACGCCTTTAAGTGAGTGGTCTTTTTTTTTAAACAAATATGAATATGAATCAATTTTTGTTGCCACATATATATAAATATGATTAAAATGACTTTATTCACATTTTTGTATTAAAAAAATTTACTAGTGAATGCTGCATCAAAAGGACATCTTGACATAGTTGAATATCTTTTAAATTATGCTAAATCCAATCCTCTTATTAAAAATAATTTTGGCGAGACTGCTTATGATGCAGCAGCAACAAGTAATGAGGCTTATATTTGTGAAGTGTTGGAAAGAGCTGAACGTGACTGGTGGAAAGGGAAAGGACAAATACCTGGACGTAAGTTTTAAAAATAATTTTTAAAAAAAAGTTTATTTATTATTACTATTAACTATTTAATTAATTTTAATTAACTATTGAAAATAATACATTTACAATAGCAACGTCATTTAGTCATCTTGAAACATCTTTGCCACCAATCAATCAACCTTATGATGTTTTTACTTTCCACATATCAGTACCAATTATTCTTCATGAAAATCAAAGGGCTTCAAATGTTTTCTCAATGGCACTTCGTAGTTCACCAAAATATTCAGCAGCAAATCTTTTGAAGACAGATTTGCGTGGAGCCTGGTCACTCCATCCTAGTGGAGAAACTTCATCTAAAGAAGATATAAAATTACCAGTTGGGCCCAATTCTTCATCAATAACAATTATTTCTAATGCAACCACTACAAAATCACAGAATAAACAATGGTTTTGGGTAGATGAATGGCAAATAGATATGTCACATCCTTACGTGGATTCAGAAGGATGGCAATATGCTAGGAATTTTACCGAACTAGATGAAAATTGGAGCGCACATCCGCCTCAAAATGCCAATAGTTCGGTAAGAAGAAGAAGATGGGTTCGTGTGATGAAACGTCGTTTAAGTCTTGGTGATATGGAACCAATTGAATCTTTACATTTGATCAAAGAATCAGAATTGAGTGGTTTGGATTATATTCAAAAGGCCGAATCCATTATTAAAAATTATCAAAATAGTGGAGAAGGAAAAAAAGACGATTTAAATAAACAATTAGCAGTATATAAAGAGGCAATAAAAATTTTACAAAATGGAATTAATTGTGTGTATTATTGTTATTATTGTATACATATGGATATTATATATATCTAATGTCAATAATATATTTATTATTATCATTACTATATTTTTTGTGTATATACAGCTGAGACTAATGACCAAAAAAGACAAGAAGCCGACTCACTTATAAGAACTTTTTCACAACATAGAGAATATTTAGAAGCTTTGGTACCAAAGAATAATAATAATAATAGGACTTCAAGTCATCGAAGTGTATCATCAATTTCGTCTCGTAATAAGTTTGGACTAGAAGTGCCTATTAGAAGATCATCTAGTCATGATATTACAAATAATGGTAATACATATAGAGGTTTTTTTTAAATAAAAAAAAAAAAAAATATGATTAATTTGAACTTTTTTTCCTAAAAAAATAACAACAATAATAATAAATCAGGGATGGTAACACCTACCAGAGGTTTAAACATTACAAATGTACCAGCAAGTAGTACGCTTACTACGCATCCAAAATGGGAAAATGACGATGATGTCTATGAATGTCGTAAATGTCAAAAAAAATTTAATTTCTGGATTAGAAAACATCATTGCAGGTAAATAATTAATAACAACATTGTTATTATTGATTGGTTGGTTGATTAATTGATTGATTTTGATATTTAGACGATGTGGACAAGTTTTTTGCGATAAATGTTCAACTGCACGAGTTACCTTGCCATCACTTCAAGTATTATCTGATCCATCTGCACCTAATAACACAACCAATACAACTTTGTATCATCGTGTTTGTGATTCGTGTTGTGAGTTAGGTGGATATATTGCACATCAAAGACCTGGTAGTATCAATTCATCAGATTTTTAATTATTTAATTTATTTATTTATTTATTTTACATTATTGTTTTGTGTGTGAAAAAGTGAGAAAGGATGTGAATGTGTAGAAGATTATTTGTGTTTATTTATTATATAAATATTTTTGATTTAATACATTTTTTTTTTATCAAGATAAATTTTATGTATATGTGAATAATTAAATAAGATATAAATTTATACGTGTATATTAATATATATATTATGTATAAGATAAATCGATTTTTTTGTTAATACAAAAATAATAATTTTTTTTATATTATTAATCACCAAGCGTTAGTTATAATAATAATAATAATAAGCTCTATATCGAAGTCTAACTATAACAGGAATAACTAAAAAATGCAAAAATTCAAATAATTAGGTTAATTGACAAACTTGATGTAAAAAATAAATAGAGAAAATAATATAAAAATTATATTTACCAATCACCCAAATAAAATAAAAGACAAATAAAACAAACATCCAAAATTTCCAAGTGGGTCTGTCATTATGGCGCAAAGGCATACCCCAAATTTGTTCTATACTAGTTATTTGATTCAAAGGTCTTTCAACCGGAGGAATTGAATGATTAACCTGGCCAGGATAAGTATTAGCATTGATATTTTTAGGCGGTGGATGTTGTTGCATATCTATCTGATGTGTAGGATTTATTTGTTGAGGCATGCCTATTGGAGGATTGTTTTGTTTCTGAGGAGGAGGATACTGATGTTTTTGTTGATAAGTCGGAGATATTCCTTGCGATGATTTAGATTGGCTATGCATGGTATCTGAACCAGTATATATTTCAGTGCTAGCATCGGATATATAAGAATCTTGGTGTTGTTGGGGTGGCCGTTGTTGGTGCTGTTGTTGTTGTTGCGGTGGTCGTTGTTGGTACTGTTGTTGTTGTGGTGGTGGTCGTTGCTGCTGCTGTTGTTGTGATGGTGGTGGTCGTTGCTGCTGTTGTTGTGGTGGTGGTTGTTGATATTGTTGTGGTTGTGGTGATGGTCGTCGTTGTTGTTGTTGCTGTTGTTGTGGTGGTTGAAATTGTGGTGGTGCTTGTGGTGGTTGGTATTGTTGTGGTGGTTGTTGATGTGGTTGTGGCGATGGTCGTCGTTGTTGCTGTTGCTGCTGCTGCTGTTGTTGCTGTTGTTGAAATTGTGGTGGTGCTTGTGGTGGTTGATATTGTTGTTGTTGTTGTGGTGGTGGTGGTCGTTGATATTGACCTTCTTGTGGTTGCTGGTATTGTTGTTGTTGTTGCGGTGGTGGTGGTCGTTGACCTTGTTGATATTGACCACCTTGTGGAGGCATTTGATAAAATTGATCCGACATAATTTTTTATTTTTAATTTTATGTTAAAAGAAAAAATTAATCCAATGAAAAAGATTTTTTAGTAAAAAGTTATAAAAGATAATGCATCGTTTTTTTATAGAAAAATTTTTTTTTAAATTGTATACAATGAACCTGATTTTATTGTATATTTTTTTGTTTTATAAAGATGGGAAATCGTGATACATAATAAGAGAACGCTCTCTCTTTTTGCGCTTGTTTATGGATGGAGTTTCGGAATTGTGTATTTTTGTGAATTTTTGTAATACTAACAAAACAATTGAAACGGAAACTCCTATAGTAATAGTAATAATTATATTAATATTATAAATCCTTCCTTATCAATGGACAAATATTTAATATGATGCTGATCACCAACGTATATGTTAATAATGATAATTTTAACTTTCTTTCTTTCTTGGCTAAGTTTCATTCTGTAATTATTATTTAAATTATATGTAATACTACAAAAGATAGCCTTGACTAAACTCCAACTCGCAAGATCCCAGTGCAGTTTTTGCGGATAGCTGGATATTCAATGACTCGTGACATTATTAGTTTCTCTTTCATTTATTTAAGCTCAGAGGATATGTTTATTTTGTGAATATGTGTAAAATTATACTTTTGGCAAGATCAAATTTTGATGTATATAAAGCTGAAAAAACTGAGCGGGTTTAAAACGACTATTCCGAAATTATGTAATGAGCCGTCCCTGTTTCTCACAAATTACATCCAGTATTTTAAATTCAGTCAGGCACAAAACAGTTATCCCCTGGGTCATGTAAGCTCCCCTCCCTACTGGGAGGGGCCTGTCAAAGCTTATACGTTACCCAGGGGATTATTATAGGCGAGGGAGGATATTATGTATATTAAAAAAAATTATTATGATCGAGAATTTTATTGTATATTTTTTAAAAAAAAAATAATATAATTAAAAAAGATTTATTTTAAAGGGGATTAATTCTTTTTCTTTTATACATTATTTGGAGGCATGAGTGAAAATTAAAATTCTTTTTTAGCATTAGTTGTAATATGGAGCATGGACACCAAGCTACCAAAATCGTGATTTTGAGTTAATAACACTTCTACATGTAATTCGTCATAATAAAAATTTGAGTAAGGAAGGTTCTTTAAAAAAATAGTAAATAGAAACAAGGATAACTACAAGCATCGCGATTTTGAATCAATGGCATTTCTATATGTGGCATACTGCAACAAAACCATACAGATAACATTTTTCTTCTAATTTTATTATTCAAATTTAGTGTAATCGTGATACAAATGTAAACTCGATAAGTTAACCTGATAATATAAATAAATGACCAATTTGTAACATTTTTTTAATTTTTATTATTATTGTTTACTATCTGTGTGTTACTGATGAAGAGGTTGATTTGTAAACACAATTTATTTAGTGAACATATGAGGATCATTTTCCTATTAGTCAATGGACGGGTAGGAAATAATTAAAGCTAGCTTAAATATTGGTTATTCTATGACAGGCTGAAAGTATTGTTTTTATTGACACTTGCCTCAAGATTATCCATCATACAACCAGAAGGTGGAATAAAGCAAACTTGATATAGATAAACATGCTTTATAAAGTTTAATAACTACTATTTTTACTACTGACACCAATATTAATTTTGTTGTGATCATGGGTAGTATTTAATTTATTTAATTATATATATTCAATTACTTTTAAATAAAAATTAATTATCAGAATGATGATTGTGAATTATTATTATTAATTACCGCCACTAATTAATAATGGTTAGGTAAGGTATCTTTTTTGATGCTTTACACTATTTTGTGAAGATAATGTCAAAACTTTTATTCAATAATATTGATACATCATTATTAAATAAATAATTTGGATACTTATGTTAAAATCAAATTTAGAAGAGAAATCTATTAAAGGTGTTAATTAAATTGCTATTTCTCTTCAATTTATTATCATGATCTGCATAACTTATTTTTGGATTTCCCTCAAATAATAAAAGTTTTTTGTAAATGATTGATAAATAAATTTAATAAAAAAATAACATGAGTATGCAGTTTTTATCAATTTTGTCAGACAAAAAAAAATATATTACATGTGTATCTATATTGTATTTTTATGAACTGGCTTTTGATGCAAAGTAAGGATAATAAGTTGTGTTATTAGTTAATTAACGGTTGATTTAACTTGTTGTAAAAAACCAAACTTTTAGTTAGTTATCCAGGTCTTCACAGAGTCCTTGGAAAATTGTTGACACAATACTTGTCAGTAAAGTGTCCTGTTGGTAAAGTGTCCTGTTGGTAAAGTGTCTTGTTGGTAAAGTGGGTGTTGGTAAAGTATCCAGGTCTGACTGTGTAAATGTAGACTAACACTATTTTGTCCGATCAGAAAATCAGAAGAAAAAAATGTTTGGGCTTAAAAAAGCAACAAGAATTAACATCACCAAGAAGGTTAAATAATAACAATAATAATCTTAAATTTATTTTTTAAATAAACAAATAATTGATAATTATTTTATTAAATTAGACTTACCAAAGCCTTTTAATTAGAGAATATGTGGCTGCTCAAGATATTTCAACTTTGCTTCTTGTAGAGCATAAAAATAAAAAGATATCAATCACCATTTACACTAAATGCTTTGATGGCTGCCAATAAGCTTGGTGGAAGTGTGACAGCTCTTGTTGCAGGTGAAGATCCAACAACTGTTGCATCACAAGTTGCAGGGCTTCAAGGAATTTCCAAAATTCTTGTAGCAAAAGATAAAGCATACAAGCACAGAATTGCAGAAGTCTATGCACCATTGTTAGTCAATGCATAAAAAAATTTAAAATTCACACATTTGATAACATCACATTCAGCATTTGGTAAAAATATATTGCTGCAATATTGGATGTTGCCCAATAATTGATATTCAAGGTTCTGTTTGTTAGACCAATTTATGCTGGAGATGCCATTGCAACTGTAAAATCCAAAGATTTCTAACAGTTTGTGGAACTGCTTTTCCACCTGCTACAGCTGGTAGTACTGATGCATCATCAGTTGTAACTGAGGCTGCACCTGAAAGCAGAAAAACCAATTCTTACAGAATGGATCAGTGAACAAATTCAAAAAAATGATCAACCTGAACTTGATTCTGCAACCAAAGTTGTATCAGGTGGTAGAGCATTGAAAAGTTGTGAAAATTTTGATAAGCTCGTTTATAACCTTGCAGATGCTCTTGGTGCTGCTGGTATGGAAATTTTTTTTGTTAGATTTAAAGATTGCAATAATAAGTAATATTGGTAATAATAATAATTATTTTTGTGTTTAGTTGAGCTGCAGTGGATTTGGGATATTGTGATAATGCATTGCAGGTAGGTTTTTAAGATGTTAGCAACTATTACAGTTAATATAGGCAAGCATTAATATGATCTCTAATATGATTTTAGGTTGGACAAATAGGAAAGGTTGTTGGGCTAGATTTTTATTTGGCACTTGGTATTAGTGGAGCTATACAACATATAGCTGGTATGAAGGATAGTAAAATAATAGCAACTATAAACACAGACCCAGAAGAACCAATCTTTCAGGTATTTTAAATATATACTATCATTGTTGTTATTATTTCCATTTAAATTAGCTATATATATTTAAAAATTAATTTTTTTTAATAGATTGCTGATTTGGGCCTAGTTGCAGATTTATTTACAGCTGTTCCAGACTTGACAGAAAAATTAAAGAAAAATTAAATCATAAAATTATATTTCAAGTTGAAATTTTCTATTAGAAATGCATATTTATTTTCAATCCTCACATCTGTAATGTTTTAGTTTTTATTATTTTGAATCCTATCTAATAAAAATATTTGATTCATGATCCATGATCAGAAGTAGACATATAGACCTGGGGCAAATTAACTGATTGAAAATTTTCTCTTCCAAGATAACATGTCCATAAATCTTCAGCAAATAAAAAATGGATACTTACTTTACTTTTGTGTGATACAAATTTGGGACTGATAGACTGATATACTGACTCAACCAGTACATCCCGTCCTCCTCCACAATCACTTATTCGCCAACTTAATTTTCAACATTGGGGACAATGATTTTCTACATAGCACAGAATGCCGCAGAAATCACGGAATATGTATATCATTATTATTATTATTATTATTATGCCAGGAAATTTATCCGCTAAATCGAGATATCTGTTAGATCAAAACTTTGAATAATTAATTCGTTATGTGGCAACAAACATTAAATTATGCAACGCTTGGTAGATTATGTGAATATGTACTATAATTTATTAAACCATTTTTATAATCACTAATTAAAAAAGTAAAAAAGTAAGGAATATTATAAGAGTTAATTGTTGTAACAATTGATTGGGAGATTGTTGAATAATTGACTATTTCTAAAAAAGAAGTCTTTACTAGTTTGGTATATTTTTCATAGCTAAATAAAATATCAACTGCATTACGGCCACATTACAAATTCCTTTTTATAGATAAAATTATCAAAAAACATTAAATCATTTTAAAAAAATCAACAATTAATCCTGAAATAGAGATTGAATGTTGATTTTGTTGTTTTCTTACGATCGATAATAATAATATTATAAAATTTTGGAACCAAATTAAAATCCATTTAACCTTGACGTTACTGATTTCATATGAAACTCCTGATATTATTATTAATATCTGGTTTACCAAGTCGACCGAAACGTTTAAATCCCTGATCGGAGGATTTTTTTTGGGTAGTGGTTTTTATTGATATCTGTCATTCTTTCGTAAAGCTTTTTAAATGGAATGTATTTTACTGTCTTTTTCTAAATTCCGTAATTTTTTGTCGATTTTGCAAATTAATTTCTTTTCGTGTTAAGTTCTGTTTGGTTTTTGGTACGATCAATGTTTTCACCTTATTAAGCAAATTTTGAGTCGTATGGCAAATATTCTAGAGTTCTTTGCAATTGCAATTGCAATTTGCAAGTGCCTTGCCATTGCCTTGCCTGTTGTTTGCGATGCAATGAACTTCTCGCTCCCCAATTTTTTTTTATTCGAAAAAAGGTTCATTATATTAATATAGTCGAATAAAAAATATGTTGATCATCTATCGAATTGGGATAATTTGATTATTCCAATTGTTAATTTTTGAAAAAAATACGGGATTTGCGTCAAATAAAAAAATACCGAAAAAACGTTTTTTCAATTGTTTACATAGCTGCGCAACCAAAATTATTATTATTATTGGATAAAATAAAAAAAAATACGTCAAAATCCAAAAAAGGTCTTTAAATTGTTACGTAGTGTCCCGCAGCTGCGCAACTAAAGTTATTTGAATATTATTATTATTTTATTTATATATAATTACCACAGAATCTTATCTATTAAACAATTATGGCTAAAATTTATGATTGATAAAGTTTTTTTTCTAATAACAGATAATGTTATATGACTACAAGGAGTTACTATTAAAGTATTAAAGCATGAATTTGTTGGTAAGCTGTTTGAACACGGCATCTGCGGTGGAATGATAGGTGTGATCACCAAAGTTATAGATGATGATAATGTAGAAATTACTTTTTCAACTAATAGTAACATTATTGGTAACATTATTAAAATGAATGTTCAAAAAATCACTATAAATTTTGAAAATAAATGGTACACATGCCTTGAGATGTCAATTCTCATTGCAGAATGCATTTGCCTTGACAACTCACAAGACCCAAGGTGTGACATTGCCATATGCGACTCTAACAATTGATGAAAATATGTGGCAATGAGCAGGGCTCCTGATTGCCTGAAGGTGAATAAAGATGTTGTGACTGAATACAGAAGATTAAATCTTTACACTAAAACAGTCTAAAAAATCTTATTAATTAACAAATGAATTAATTGACTAAAAAAAAAAAAAATTTTTTTGATGTAACTCGTGCCCACTTTGCATCCAAAAATTTTAATCATGTTAATATTAATTATGACAAAACCATTTCATCAAGTATCATTTAATCATGACATCATCAATGATACATTTTTGACATTTAACTTTAGTAATTGTCAATTAGTCATCATTTATCATTCTATTCTATTTTATTTTATTTTATTCTATTTTATTTTATTTTATTGGACAAAATCATGTTATTTGTAATACTTCAAGAAGTATAAATATGCTTGAAATTTCCT